GAGCTGTTGATAGTTCCCATACTATTTTTAGTTTTGATATGTCTTAATAATTTTGATATCGCTGCCCAAGTAAGTCTAGTGCCTCTTCTCTTGCTTTTTCTTGCCAGTCAATCTGCAGTGCTAGAAGAAAAATAGTCCATGAGAGCAATGTCTGAGTTGTTTCTTGTTCAGCATTCATAAATTATTTCTTCAAATATGATCTTCTCTCTTCCAGCAGTATCATGATTAGCTTTCAAAAGCATTCCAAGATAATATGTTGTAATGTTGTCCATATTGTTTACCATTGCACACACTCTTTTCTTGATTATCTCTGTGAAAAGTTGCTGGATTTTTCTTTCAACTTTCACGGTTGAAAAACTTCCATTTATACGGTATACGTTTTTGAAAACATAGTTTATGTGCCTTCAAATTAGAAAAATTTCTACATAAATAGATCTTTGGTATGTTATACTAATTACTTAACTCGGCTAGTGATGCTTCAATAATTCAATAAATTTTAGGAGAAGAAGACAGTAAACTCTTATTAGGAAATGATGTGCATCAGGCTTTCCAGATTGATGATTTATGTTCTTTTTGAGTTTTTCTTTAGTTATTTCTAACTTTTGGTTTGTTAAACTAATAGATTTTACATCTAATGAATATACTAAAATTATATAGTATTTTTGGTAGAATTCTACAAATCAATGGCACCAGGAGGACGAGTCTCTAGACAAACCACAATTACAGGTGCTTCTACTCAAGCAAGCCGATCATCTGATCCATCAAATAGTAATAATCCTACTCCTAATACAGGTAATACGTACCTTTTATTATATTGACTAGGAGTGTATCTATTAATTATTGTTTGTTCTCCTTTTTTCTGATGCTTATTGCTCATTGTTGTCAGTGTACTATTTTGTTATTGTTTATTCTTATGGATCCTTTTTTTGGCTTGTTCTGTGCATTCCATATTGTTTTTCTATATGCAGCAAGTATATCCTGCACTTTCTAATTCAGACTTTTGGTAGTACTATTTTTATTGAAACCTTTGCTGTAAAATTGAAGTAATTTCTTATGGTCGGGTCAATT